ATTTTCTACATTTAAAATCGACGCAAAAATCAAATAACGAGCCTGAATCGCAAGCATTTCATTGAGGTCTGCGGGTGACGTAACCACTATTAGCTGCTGACGTGGTGAACGTCACTCGCAGACCTTTTGGACTCGAGAACCGGCTAACGTACGCCTCCTCAGGATGAGCAATCCTGTTAGTTTACGATTCTTGGGTTTTAATAATAAATGGTTGTATGTTGTAGGTTTAAAAATGTCAAAAATTCCAACAAAATCCAAATCTTTCATTGCACAAACAAACTAGCATCTGCAAAAATCTTTTTTTGTGGCCATTGAAAAATAAACAACTTTCGTCAAAAATCTTTTTTTCTATGACCGTTAGAAAATATTGAAAATAAACAACTTTCGGCATATTTCACCTTAGCCGGAAACGTCACTTTCGCTCAAGGGGGTCCATAGGGGGGGGGACACATTGGGCACTTGCCCCTCCCCCCTTATGCTTTTGGGCGTGGCACCCGAAATAGCTATTTACCTAACAAGTGCGGAAAATGAATTTTTTCGGAGTTCGGTGAAGCAGCCAAGTGCGGAAAAATATTTTCCGCAGTGTTATTAGGTACAATATTTTTCCTACAGGCGTAAAATTGTAGAATTTTTTTTTTTTTTTTTTTGACAGCCGTGCGGTAAATTTCTTTCCGCACTGACAGCCGTGCGGAAAAACTTTTTCGCACTGATATGCGTGCGGTAAAAGTTTTAGCGTACCGTGCGGGAAAACTCATTTTCCGCACGGATATCAGTGCGGAAAATTGATTTTTCCGCACGGCTTTAGGAAAAAAAAATTTCGCCAGCGGCGAGCTTTCCCTCTGGATAGGAACAGTCCCGTTTTTTCATTTCGTAGATCTGGCAACCCTGCCGGAACGGTCAACAACAATAATAGTATATTGTTGTATTAGTAGAAGCTTTACTTTTTTGTGCTGAAGCAGTAGGTTTGCGAGCCGAACGTAGTGAGGCTTGCAATATTGCTGAAGCACAAAAAAGTGCTTCTACTCCGTATGCAACACGCTATTTTTTCTCCAAACTAATGGGGTAAGCTCGGGGGCAAGTGAATGGTTGAGCGGCAGTAAAAGTACGAGCGGCACTAAAAGTACTTTTGCTGCCGCTGGATTTGCCTCGCAGCATAGAAATCAAATTTCTGACATCTTGACAGGGGTTAACAAAGTGACGTTTTTTTGACGTTTGGAGAAAAAATAATAAAGTAATAGAGTCGGATAATAATTGTTATCCCCGCAAAAAACATCAAACATTTGTCACGTTCTCCGACGTCTGGTTGGCGTCTGTAAAATACAATAGGTCTGTTTCTGCAGAAATCACAAACCAGTCAGAGTGAATTTCATTCGTTGAAACTAGTTTTCTGACTGTTTTCAACCAATGAAATTCGCTCTGACTGGTTTGTGATTTCTGCAGAAACAGACCTAATATTAAATTATAGTATTGTAAAAACAATAATAATAATGGGGGAATAATTCTGTAATTGGTTATTGTTCGAAATTAAAATTAGAAAATCCACAGGTTGCTGATAGAATGCTGATCGATGAGAGATTTCAAATTGAAATTGAAAGATATCGAAACTGAAAAACATATTTTTTCACTTTACCTGGCTTTACTTCCAAACTCCACTCAGCTGGCCAACTCTTGCAGGAAGTTCAAGTCCAATGCGAAGGAGTACAAACGAAACCGTCTTGATTTAAACCGGTCGCGGCAAGCGAAAAACAGCGGGTGTATTCTCTCGAACCACACGAAACGAACGGAGTGTTTTTGGCGAATGATTTACTGGCAGCGTTGCCAGATAAAATAAAAAAAATTCGTGAAAATCGAGAAAGAAAAATCGTGAGACTAAAGGCCGAAACCCACTAGCAACACGCCACGTCATGCTTTGCCACGCCACGCCATGTTACGAAAATGTATGCGTATATTCTTCCATTTATTTATATGTGCTGCGTACACACTTACCATACGCGATACCACGCCATGGCACGCCACGCCATCCGTCCATTTGCACACAAACTGTCCCACGTAAACCTGTGTCACATGGCGTGGCGTGTTGCTAGTGGGTTTCGGCCTTAAAAATTGCCAATGTTATGAGGAAATGACGCACAATAATTTACTTTTATAGATTTTTGATAAAGTAAACATGATTTTACATTCATAAGAAATAAACATTTTATTATTAAATATCTTGTATCCTTGTATTTCCTGTTTTTTAGCAGGTGTTTCTGGAAGCTGATCCTCGTTTTCACGTTGACTATCCGCAGCATTGCTCATAAGGCGTACGTTCGCTAATTCCCGAGTCGGCATCAGGTCTGCGCGTGACGTCACCACTAGTAGTAGCTGATAGTGGTGGCGTCACCAGCAGACCTCGATGGATTGCTTGCGATTCAGGCTGTGCAAGTTAGTTTTTTCGTCGATTCTAAATTTAGAAAAGGTGATTTTACCGTTTAGGAACTTTCACCTCAATAAGCAGTCCTATTAGGTTAAGCTTTCGCGTAACATAACTAAATATTGTATAGTAGATTTTTATTTCGATTAAACATTAGATTTAATTACCGATTTGTATTTCTTCAAAGAGAATTCGTAAGATTTGCCACCTCATTCGTGAGATCGTGAAATTTTGACTGAAATCGTGTAATCTTACGAATAATCGTGAGATCTGGCAACACTGTTTACTGGCCGGCAATGTAAGGACTTTGCCGGTATCCTTTTCAGTGTTTGACGCGCGCATTTTTAAAAGCCAAATCTAGCAAAGCCGTATCAATTCTTAGGCATAAAACGCGCAATTCAATTAGAATAAGAGAAACAAAAAATATATAAGAAAAAAAAAACGAATCAATTTCTTTTCTTTACTAATACGACCGAGTTTATATCAAGTTCAGAGATTTCATTGTCCCACTTCTGCCGTTGCTGAAGAGTGTTTAGGTAGGACAAATGCCATCTTTTCCAAAAATCTTGCTGCAATCTTTAGAGAGGTTGCCAGCGGTTTAAGCGATTCAACGAAAGATGCGTGAGGTCTAGATCTGGAAGGCAAGTAAAAGGTTCTAGAGTTAAGAAGTGACCCGGACCCGGTACCAATAGGTCGTGGGGGTCATTACTTAACGGATATAAAGGTCTGGAGTAGACGAAACTCAACAGTTATAGTGATAAGGAAAATAGATGAAGGAAAATTGTAATAGGATATAGAATAGAAAGCTCAACCTAAATAACCTATTATTAATGTACATAAAGAACTAGGAAACAATATGTGGGGTTACAACAAATGGTCAGAAGAACTCAAGTTACAGAACAAGACAAACTTTCCACATCGGTCTCCCTATACCTAAATCCACCCTAGTTCAGAAATCTGTGGTACTCGATTCCAAAAATAATATTCAATCATCTACCACTTGAAATTCGCGTGTTACAGTCTGACATGAGGTTCAAGATCGCAATGAAAAAAATATTGCTAGCTCGAGCATACTATTCGGTAGAAGAGTACTTTCAGGACACATTTTAAATTGTATAAATTGTCGAGTTTTGTCCTTGGCATTATTATTTTTATATGGCTTCGTTTTAAATTAAATTGGACTGTAATTTTGATTAGTAATTAGTTTTAAGGCTTTGTAGGGTTGTGGCTTTGCTAATGAATACCATGCAAGATTAAAGCATATTTTGATTTGATAACATCTACCTAATGCACTTAAAATCTACATGTATTTTTTTGCTGCTCTGAGGCTAAGGCTATAATTTTCATCAATATATTTAAAGCCTATAATTAATTTAAACGATCATTCTGTTAAACTTAATTATAGGTGGTACATACTATTTCCTCAAGAATAATTCATCAAGCTCCTGATATGCAAGGAGCCTATTAACATACATACATATTTAAATTGTTGACATCCTACTTCATCAGATTCTTAAATCTTAGCAGAAAGATATTGGTGTTTAGGCAGTTAAAATGGCTGTAAGTATTTCAATATAATTATAAAACAAATTATTGTTGAACAATTTGCAAGTAATTTCGATTTAGTACCTCCTATGTCATATGACTCGATAATCTCAAAAAAAAACATAGAGCATTGAAATGGTAGAAAATATGTATTTTTTGGGACACCGTATATTATGTTACAACTTGTGAATCTACAAAAATAAAAATAATCCCCACCGGCGCGGTTCACTTCCGGGTATCTCGGACGTCGGCGATCTAGTATCACCAAATTTTTCTCTTCTCCTCGTTGAGTACTTCTACCCACTTTGGTGACGTCGTCACGGAACGGCGTCAGATGGTGTGGTGGTACTCCCGGCGTAAAAGCAGAGCAGTTATTCAGTAGCGGCGATAGTATTTCTGATAGTATCCGAAAATCGATTCGGAAGCGGTATGTCAGTGGCGGGTATCAGAAAGAAAAAAATAGTAACTTCGTTACACGAGCTTGAGAAGAAGAGTTTTACAGTTATCCTATTGAGTTTTTTTTTATATCGAAGTCTAATCCAGGGAATTCAGGGCTCATTTTCACTATTTCCTTTTAAAAAAAAAAGTATAGCCTCTGCCATACTCTTCAAGAACCAATATTGTTTCATCTGGAATCTCCAAAACAGCTTTAGACAAAGCTAAACTGCCGGCAGATATATTTTTCATACATCGATTTTTTTATTGTAATATTTTTCAGGTCTATCCCAAATGTAAGCATTTACATTTCACAATGATAACTTCATCGCTTCTGGGAATAATTCCATCGGAGTTTATGTTTAACGACAACAAATTTCTACAAAAATGTTATGCAACCTACTCTTTCTTGATGATGGTATACTACGTGCTGTTTTTAACCACTGCTTATATACAACTATACCTAATAACATTTCACGAAGAATTTCAATTAGATCGAGTTTCTGCAAATATAACAGTTACGTTGATTAATACTATAACTATTATGAAACAGTTTGTTACTCGACTCACGCCAAGTTTTAAAACTATGATAAGGCAAATTATTGAGAATGAGGAGGATTTTGATAGCATGGATGACAAAAATGTAAGTACCTATTTTAGTGAAAATTTTGAAAACTAATCTATAAACACGTTTTAAGCTAAATGACATTTACGAAAAAGGCATCAATAGTGCAACAATTGCAAGTAAATTGTATATACTAGGTCTGTTTGGCGTTATTTTTCAATATGTTACAAATCCGCTCATACATGGCCCTAGTCAGCAGGTGTTGGGAAATAAAACTATAATAGTTAAACCATTACCTTTGTCTTTATGGTCTCCATTTGATGATCAGAAATACTATATTGTAAGTTAATCAAATGTAGCATAAGAGAACTCTGAGGCTTAGTAACAATTTTCAGATAGCATATTTAAGACATATGATAGACGGAACAATCGCAATCTCATTTCTGGGTTACACTGATATTTTAATTTTTACATTAATCGCCTATCCTGTGGGCCAGCTGAAGATTTTAAATTATCTTTTAAAACATTTTGAGACTTACAAACAAAAATACAAAAAACTACACAATATGGCTGACGAAAATAAAGCCGCTTACTTTCTATGCCTTGATAATATCGTAAAACACAAAAATATAATCATGTAAGTAAAATGAATTTATTATTCTTTTTGTTCATATATTCATTTTAGGTATGTTAAACATTTCAATGAAACTATGAGTGGTTTGATGGTTCTTGAATTTTTTCATTTCTCTCTAGAAATAGCTGCAATGTGTATTCAAACAGTAGCGGTAAATACAAAATTTTTCAAATTTCATATTAATTATTTCTTAAGACAATCATTTTAGAATGATTTTTCTCCTGCGATAATGTTGTTCGTGGCAGATGGCTTCATAAGTTTGATTGTCAGGTTATTTTTATATTATTACTATGCAAACGAAGTTATCGTCTTGGTAAGCGATAAAAATTAGATTTGCAGAATTGAAACACTGGAAATTTCAGAGTCAAGAATTGGCAATTTCTATTTATAAAAGCAACTGGTACGATCAGTCACCTAAAGTGAAATTTATGATGCAAATATTCATAGCCAGGGCACAAATACCTCTTTCGTACACTATTGGACCATTTAGTGATATGTCGCTGGATTCTATGATTGCAGTAAGTATACCAACAATAAAAAGAATTATATCATATAATAGTGTATTATGTTACGGCATCGAAATTTTTAATTTTTTTTTTAGATTCTCAAGGCTACCTATACTTACATAATGTTAATGTACAACACTAGATAATCAGATTAATAAGTTTCAAAAAAAAAGTAGCACGAGCAAAAAAGCTTAATATGATAAGCTTTGTAACACAAGTATTTTAATACAGCAGAAGTAGTATATTATAGAATAGAGTGATAATAAAATCAAAGAATCGATTTCTATTGTTTCTGTGTGTGTGCCACCTTTCGCAAACTTGATGGAGAGGAGGTTGCCTGTAATGTATATTCTGCCTTGTTAAGTCACACCTCAGCTCACCCATTCTGGGGAACACTCTGTTTTTTCTATGATTTTTAGAAAAGTTGCATCTTTTCATTTCTCCAACTTTGAAAATATTAACCCTTTTTCTTTTACTTTTATGAAATTGAAATGTAGAAAATACATGCTTACGATAGTTTATGATCAATACATTCCCTATCTAAAAAGGCAACTTCTTGCCTCATTATTTTTCGCTATATTATATTTGTTGCAGATTGATTTTTGGGACTCCTACCATGAAATAATAACATTGCCATGCTTCAATTTTTCAGTCAAAAAAAAAATCACTTTTTATAGAAACTATAACAAATAAAATAGACATGCAATACTTGTATATTATACAACATAAGCTGCTGATTTCATTTCAATTGTAGCTCGGCAAACAGGACAACTACTGGTTATATCGTCGGCACAATCTTCACATAAACATACGTGACCACAAGGTAATAGAATTATCTGTAAATTAAAATATAAAAATTAATTCCGGTATAGAAAATGTAATAAAAAAATAGTTCTTACTTCAATCGGATTTGACCTACAAACAACACAAACTTTATTATCTGACAAGTCTTTTGAATCTCTAATCAACCGTCGTCTATTTTTCCTAGATTGCTCTCTGATAACTTTTCTTTCTTCAGCATCTTTCAATTGTTTTTTCTGTTTCCAATATTTCCGTATAACAATTCCGGCCACTACCGCACCGAGTGTGCCAAAAATTAAAATCATAACTCCATAATTTCTTTTTGAAATTTTAATTTTTTTAAGAAGAGTATCTACAGGCAAAGTTGTCAAATAATAGGAGCCCCCAGTGGTGGGAGGCTGTAATTTGAGTGTCCCATCTCGTTCATATATCAATTCGCCTATACCTGTCACAACAGTACCACATCTCAGCATTTTCTCAGTAGATTGCACTCCTCTTTGTCTGAACCCAGTGAAAAAGCCCCAAATATGGTCCATCATACTTGGAACAGTGGGGCGAAATGTATCAGATATTACATCCATATCTAAATATTCAGATACAAGTGGATCTGCGACTTCCACTACTATTCCTTTAGATTCCAATCCGAAAGGTGTAACATTACATACATCCTGGATAGTCCATTCAGAATCTGCCCAGAATCCCGCAGCACTCCTTTGCACCACGTGTTCTTTAATTTGGAGAGATTGAATAACACCAGATACATTTGGGCTGTTGTTGCTAGAGATTGGGTTTCCTAGGGGCTTTACTGCACCCCTGATTGCTATCAAAGGTAATTTCGATTCTGGATGGCTTCGTATGATCTCTTTTAGGTTGCTATCTATGGCTAGAGTAGGTGCGGACTGAAATTAGACAAAGACAAAGTTTTAGTTAAGCAAATCAATATGTACCTACTTACAAACAGTAATATTTTCTAATGAAATTACCTCGGAAATTACATGACTTTTCTGTAACGATGTAAACTTTTATACATATTTATGTATTTCAAGGCAGATTAGGAAGAAGTCAAGTCAAGTTTCAAAAACTATAACTGTTTGTATGGTGAATTAAAATTCTAAATAAGAATTGTTTTGTGGTGTCTGAAGTTTTGAATAGATAGTCATTGTTTAGTTATTTTTATTGAAAACTATTAGATTGTGATTTAAAAAAAAAAGCTAAGGAAAGTACCCAACACATACCTATATCCTGTTCACAATCCGATGTCCATAGGTGCAGATAAATTTATCACCTTTTTCTATCAAATAGCATTGAAAGGTGATAAATTTTACCTGTACCTGTGGACATCGGATTGTGAACGGATAATACAGATGTTTGTGACATCTAGGTGCTTCAAATATTTTCCTGTAAATATTTCTCTATTTTATGTTTTTGAGTATTGGAAGAAACTTATTGTAGATATAGCTATAGATGACAGGTAGATAGATAGCGGGCGAAACGGACGTATTTGAACACTGTTCCAACAATTTTATTGTAAATTCTAAAAGTAAAAAACTGCAGATTGTGTAACACAAGATTTCATTTATTATGTGTATTAATTGAAGATACGCGAGCAAAAATTTTTGTTGAAAATCAAAATATTCAGTGGTTTTGTGATGTTTGTAAAAATAAGTCTACAGATCAGGTGAGAAAATGTAACATGCCATCATCATTTTGCGATGGTGAGATGGAGATTCTAGGAAAAGAAATTGAATGTCTCACCAGGGAAATTTCATTAGCAAACAAACTATCATCGAAGTTGAAGTATTCCAGCGAACTTCGAAAAAAGGTAATCAGCGCATATGAAAAACAACTAGGATTTGTAGATAATAATAGGGTACTTGCATAGAAAATTAAATTGATTATTGTTTATTGTAAAACTGTAGGAAATCGAAAAAAAATCGATACATATTTTTTTTATTTTAATTATTCCGGAAGTTACACATATATTAAGTTTTGTATATGTATATAGATATACTGAGCATGTGCGACGTCACGAATTTATATGATAAGTGACGTCAGAGGCATATTTCATAGTGTTGTATCTCCGTCAATTTTTGACTAAGAAGAAAAATAAAAAATACGTGTTGACTTATTTTTCATGGACTATCGAAATCAGCAATAAAAAATTTGATGCAAAGGGCCTATTGTGCCTACTGCTTGCTCGGAACCCATTAAAATCGATCGGAGAATGCAAGATCAACCTTTTCATCAACAAAAACATGATAAAGCGCCACTACCAAAAAATGTAAACAACAGTACAAATATTAGTAAACAAACCGGTACTTCTTCTAGCTCTAATTGGAGCACTAATCATGTTAAGGATAATAATCGAGCGATTATTGACGCGAATTCTGTGAAGACGGCAGTTTTACAAGCCCAGCAAAGTGAAATCATGAAAGAGGTACGGTACAGGATTTGAGCCCTGAAAAGCATGAAAAAGAAGAAGGCTGGGAGTAGCTTCATGTCTCTCGACTCAGACCTTCTACCAAGCCAGATGAATTGAAAAAGTTTTTAAGTGCAACTTTCCAGAGGTGATCTGCGAGATGCATCAGTCTAAACATCCGGAGGCAGTGGCGCACCCAAGGGGGGGGGGGGTTTGGGGGTTAACCCCCCCCCCGAAATTTAGCACTGGTACAAAGAATTTTCCGGTAATTTTTTTTTTTTTTTGCGATTTTGGTTAATAGGTACCTACAAACTTTCCATTTTACATACATGGCATCCCTAAAAGGTTTTGCCTCCGACAGCGAATTGATATAGGTGAGTAAACAGCGAGGTAAACACATAACTCATACAATCACTTGGTTGGTTGGTTGAGATGCAGAATGAACAGGTTGGGTTAGGTAGCCTCAACACTGCAGCCGTCGGCTTATTGTATTGTCCTGTTCGCCTGTTTAGTCAGTTAAAAGTTTCGTGACCTTGATTAGATTTATTAGGAGCCTCTTCAGCGTGCTACTTTTGGTGAGTTTAGAGATAGGGTCTTCTGGCTGTATCTCCACCAGCGTAAAGCCTCACATTTAAAGATTATGTAGGTGGCGGTTTCATCCTCCTTGTCACAAAGTCTGCATATGGGTTTTTCTTGGAGAATGCCCATTTTGTGAAGGTGTTTTCTCAGGCTACAGTGTCAAGTCATAAGTCCAGTTATTAGCCTGATTAGATTCCTGTTTAGTTTGTAGAATTTCTTCAGTAAGTTTAGGTGATGGTTGTTATACTTGTGAGAAGAATAAGGAAGAAAAATAGACTGCATGGGTTAACGCGAACTGGAAAGGCGTGCACTAGTGTCAATGAGGAATATATAAGTCTAAGAAAAAACATTAGAAGGCAGACTAGGCATGAGTATGCACTGTATCAGCGTAACTTGGAATCAAATATGCATAGTGACCCAAAGAGTTTTTGGTCCTTTTTAAGAGCTAAAAGCAGGAATAATGGTACACCAACGGAAGTGTCTTACAATAATAAATCCTTCAGTGGCACACAAGAGATTGCAGACGCCTTTGCTCAATTCTTCTCCTCTGTGTATGAGAAACCATCTGCAGCTGATAAAAATAAAGATATTAATTTCGGTAATTTTCACTTCTCCAAAATAACTGAGGAGGACGTTAAGCTAAGCATAAAAAAGCTTAAGGCAAAAAAGTCGGTCGGAACACACAATGTGCCTTCTTCCATTTTCAAGGGCTATGCTGACGCACTCCTGAAACCTCTTAGTCATTTATTTTAACCTCTCTATACAGACAAATACTTTTCCGACAATATTAAAGGAATCTTTGATTACCCCTATACATAAATCTGGTTCCCACAGAAAAGTCGAGAACTACAGGCCTATCAGTATATTGAACACTGTAGCGAAAATCTTTGAAACAATCCTCTGTAATGATATAATGTCAAATTTCAGCAAATGCTTTTCTAATTGTCAACATGGCTTTCTGCCGGATAGGTCCACAGTATCAAATCTGTGTACCCTCACTACACGGGCAATGGAAGCAATAAACAAAAAAAATCAGTTAGACGTAATAATGACAGACTGTGCTAAGGCATTTGATAAGCTCGACCACAATGCAATGCTGTCTCAGCTAGGTGAATTTGGGTTCTCGGTTGCTGCTTGTCTTTTAATGCAGTCTTATCTGAAAGATTGGAAACGATGTGTTAAAATGGGTGACTGCTGCTCAGAGCCTTACTCAGCGACATCAGGGGTACCACAGGGAAGCAATCTGGGTCCCTAGCTCTTTGTCATATTTATTAATGACTTGCCCAACTGCATAAAGTTCTCTGAAAGCTTGGTATATGCTGATGACTTTAAGGTTTTCAAACTAATTACCAAAGCAGAAGATTGCACAAGATTGCAGGAGGATCTGGACTCTGTTGCTCGCTGGTTTCTAGATCACAGGATGCATCTCAACATTAACAAGTGTCAAACAATCACGTATACTCGCAACATCAATTACATCACAAATACCTATACAATAAACGATAGATCTTTGCAGAGAAAAGACAAGTGTAAGGATCTCGGAGTTAACTTCCAAATGAACATGAAATTCAATGATCATTATTATTATGTTGTCAATAAGGCATATCGAGCATTGGGCTTTATTATAAGAAACACAAAGCACTTCAAAAATATCGAAACAATAGTAATATTATACAATACTCTGGTTAGGTCTCACCTTGAGTACGCCTCTGTCGTTTGGTCTCCTCAGGCAGAAGCCAACATAGATCTTTTGGAGAAGGTCCAGAAGCGGTTTCTGAGATACCTCTACTATAAAACTAATAACATTTACCCATACCTCGTTTCTTACAGGAGTATGCTGACTACTTATAATATTCAGTCTCTAGAAGTAAGGCGAAAAATTGCTTCAGTACTGTTTATACATTACATAATAAACAACATAAAATTTAAGTCTTGCCTTTTCATCAATAATATAAGCTTCCATGTTCCTAAAATAAATTTAAGAAAAAAAAACGCTGATCTGTTTTACTGTGATACATTCAACTGGACAGTACTGACGTCAATGCAGTATCAGTGTAATGTATTAATAGATAAGTTTGATATTGACATGCACAATGTGATGTCCAAAAGCTAAAATCTTGTTTTAATTTATATTGATGATTTGTAGTAGTGTATTTTTCGTAGTTTTAGTTTTAGTTTTAGGTAGATTCTAGGGATTCTGTTAGTTATAGTAACCCTTACTTGTCATTATCAACTTGCTTGATGTTTGTAAGATGTACCATAAATAAATAAATAAATACCATTAGCTTACTGTGTCTGAGCTTCGAAAGAGTTTGCCTGTTTTGTGTTGTCTATACAGCCATTGGTTTATTTTTGTTCTTACCGATGATTTTGTGATGTCATTTGAGTTCAGGACAGTATAACTAGTTGCCGATCCTTCTCTTGCCAGAGCATCTGCTTTTTCATTTCCTTCAATTCCTTTATACCCTGGCACCCATTTAAGGGTTACCTTGTTGGCCATACTTAGGTTTTTGAGGTTTTCCAAGCCTTTCCAGACAAGTTTGGATCTTATTTCAAAGCTGTTGAGTGCTTTGATCGACCACTTGACCGTCTGAGCAGATAAGAATGTTTTCACCTGTATATCCCCTCCTCAGGTTTTCTCTCAGACAGGAGTCGATGGCATATATTTCTACTTGGAATAGAGTAGTGTATTCTCCCAGAGGTTGACAATGTTGACATACTTGCCGTTGGTGTGCTTCTCTGTGCACCGGTAATACAAAGACACGCAAGTCTCTCCAGGTTTGCTTATTATAGTCCCCATGTTTTCCCAATCACTCTTTTTAGTGACATCAACGTCATCTTGCTTTTGGTGATTATCTTTTGGATGTGCTGGTTCCATGTCAGCTTCATATCTAGGATGAT